TTACAATATTTTTATACAGTTGCATTTGTGCTACAACCACATGGAGTGGCAAACACTGCACATTGCAACCATGTATCCATGACTTTTAGATAACGGTTTTATCTCCTCTGCTTGCTTGCAAATTAGTTGCCACACACTCTTAATTGTAATAACACCTACATTAATTTTAACTCAAAATGTGGATGTATTTTTTTAATTAAAACATAAATTCAGTTTTGTTTCAAATTAGTTGAGCTACTCTGCAATCTCTTCAATACAGCAGAAATACCCACTGGGCTACAAATACCCACTGGGCTACAAGTACCCCTGGTTGGGAATCAGTGGTCTGTAGTTTTCCTGCAATACATCTTACTGCCACCAGTGGCAACAGTGAGCGCACTGCTGCTGAGCTGCAGTGTGTGAGGAGACAAAGAAGACATCCTACGCCATCATGAGCTTTACTTGGGCTTCCTTAAAAGATGAATGTATTCAGGGAGCTGGATAATTATGAGCGAGTCCCAGTGGCTGAATGTGGCTCTACAGCAAAACATTGCTGGGGAACTGGGGGAAATGGTGAATGCCCAAACAAGGGAGCCTTCTGACTGTATACAGCAACAATTGTAGTGTTGAAATTTCAGCATTAAACATTTTAACACTTTCTGATTTAAATGTTGTTCAGTGTTGGAGTTATTTGACAGAGTTGATAACATCAGTGTTAGCCAACCCTCTCTGGTGTTAGCCCAACTCATAGATGGAATTAAACTCCGCCCACAGAAGAAACGCATTTCACTTTTTCGGTTGGAGACAAGTTGGCACCATTTCCCTCCGCTCGTGCAGCTCTACACGGTAAGTGCAATTAAGTCTAACTCACTGAAACAATGGATGCTGTGAACTGTAGTATGTACAATAAAACATCTACAGAGAATATGTTACTTACAAAGTCTCGTTTGTTGTCAGGACTGATGAGCTAACATTAAGCTAGGTGTCTGTGGCAGCTATCTTACCGTTATCGTCACTAACTTAAACCATTCCAACTTCAATGACTATTTAACAACAATTCACATGCAAGCTCACAAAAAATGTGTCGCAGCGTATTGTATCTGGTTGTCTGTGTGACCTGGACTTCATGTTTTATTGCTTTTTCTCCCAGATTCTGCAGAAGAGGTGAGAGACCTTTCAGAAGCTTGGTAATGACACAGGTAGAAATGTTCCACCTTCCCAAGATTCCTGGATACAAAAAGATTGGAAATTTCAAAGTATTCCTTGTCGTAGTAGTTAATAAGTTAATCAATATTTTCTTTCTCAAAGGTGGAACAAGACTTTACTCTGTTTGTTCTTAGAGCCAAGGATCTCTGATGGGGAAACAAGTGAATTCTATTTGTTTTGTTTGTTTAAAATCATTTTATATAACTGCAGTTACAGTTGCTTCATTCATTATTTTAGAATTCAGTTTATTCTGTATGTCTCTATCTTTAGCCACGTTGTTAAAAGAATTGGACTTTCTAACACTAGCCAGGGAGATGTTTGAGTAAACACTTCAATATTTTCTCTTTGTTTCCTTATCTCAACTATAGTCATGCTACAGTTTGGAGGATCATCTCCAGCAGGAGTTGAGGAGTACCTCCTCGCTGTTGGGCGTCAGAAGAACTGGATCGACAGCTTCTACGTCACCATGGATAAGCATCTCATTTCATGCCAGGCAAACCACTCCCTCAAGCCACTTGATTAACATTTCAAAGCACATTTTAATTTGTATGATTTACATGAGCATAAGATTGTGCATTGTTTTACACATGAAAAGGCAAAAATAAATGTTATTTTTAAAATTATTGAGATTTTTGTAATTGTCGATTTTACACTTAAAGGGAGTAAAATTGAGCTAAGAGCAGTGTTATGTTATATCACTCAGTGTTAATTTAACCCTCTTTGTATAAACCCTAAAAAGTGCTGAAATCAACTCTGTGGGAGTTAATTCAACACTGGACGTTTACCGGATACCAACAGGTCATCGCATACTCTAAATGCCTGCTGTTTTCCACCATTGCTACTTGTTCCCTGCACACTGGACTGCATGCAGGTTGACTCCAGTCCTCTCCTTGTGTTAACAGCCGTGCACTGTGCTCAGTTCATTCAGGACAGGCAGAAACTCCCCACAGTACGCCACTCTCCTCCATCACGTCTGTCTTCTTCCCCTTGATAGCACATTATGTAAGACCCTCCCTCTTGAGATTGGCAGCCAGCCTGTGACAAACTGTGGCAGTAGCAATGAAAACATTTGTCTGGCTTCTGTCTGAGCAAGAAACGTCTGAATTGGATCTCTGCTGTTTACTGGGTACAAATCAGTTTATGTTCCTGTGCAGGTCAACAAGTAAAGCATACCCAGACGTTGATGAAGACAGGAGCTGTGTGCACTCATGAACCTGGAAGTCACTTTGGATAAATGTGCCTGCGGTAATGGCATTGTAAATGAAGCTAATTCAGAATTTTATATCATTTTAATAAGGGAAGATAAATATCCTCATTATCACATGGCCTCCTTTTCCCCAGGAAGCAGGCCTGTGATTCACATGTTCACATCACAGCCTCAAGGTAGCAACAGCAGACCTGTGGCTCTCCTCTGCCTCTCATAATAGTCCATTCTTTTTGCTCTGCACCAGATAATGACCTTCACCATACTGCTCCATGATGATAGCTATTATGGATGAGTCATGGGTGAGTGGCTGTTTATGTTGGCCATCTATCTCCATCTGTCTCCTGCACTCTCTTCCCCTCTCTGACATTCAAGTAAAAATCTGCAAATGCATATATAATGCAATAACATTCATTTGAAAAAGAATTTGTACTTCTACTCTATTGCATGTCTGTCTATCCTGGGGGAAGGATCCCTCCTCTGTCGCTTTTTTATGAAGTTTCTTCCAGTTTTTCCCTTGGTTTAAAGGGGAACTTGGCAACTTTTTCAGCTTAATAAACCCGTTTAGAAATCATTTGGATGGTTAAATGGCTTGTTCCGGTGAAAATGGTGACCTCCCCACCCCCCTCAGGCGACCCCAGGCGGAAAACCAACCTTGCAACCAACTTTGGGGACTACCGCCTGGTAAATTGGAAAAATAGAAGTATCGGAGAAGCGAGAACGAGCAACGAAACACGAACGGCTTTAGGCAATTCCACATAAAACGCACACGCCGCCCTCAATAACGGTTAGTGTATAATGGTATTACCACCTCGGTAGATATTGCCCCACAGCGAAAAAGTTGCCCAAGCCGAAAAAAAAGGCACATCAAACAGCGTAGGAAAGGGGGAGGAGGGTGCCGCAAGTGAGTTTTTTTTACGACGTGTTGTGAAATACACGTCCCAGAGCTGTAGGGGGAGCTCGTTGAGAAAACATGCGATGACAAAAGTGAAAACCAGTGAAGAAATGGCTAGAGTTGCCAAGTTCCCCTTTAAAAGGGTTGTTTGAGTGAGTTTTTTCTTACCTGAATTTATGCAAGCGTTGTACAGTTTGTAAAGGCCAATAAGGCAAATTGTGATTTTGGGCTATATAAAAAAAATCTGACTTTACTTGACTACTGGTGTGCTTGTTTTTTTAGGGAGGAGAAGAAGAGTGTACAATCTATATAATAAAAGTTGAGCTTTTTTGGCAAAAGTAATCCCATTGATGTATCCTTTACATGATGTGCCCTTTTTATCTATACTGAGTACATAGCACTAATATATGTATTTAGTGTTTATAATGTTTCTCAAATGGGGATTCACAGATCATCTGTCTCATGTACTACTGTAAGAATGTAGTTAAAGTTTCGGCAAATATGACAAAAAGTAATTTTTAGAAAAGTTACCTACTGCAGCTTTAAATTGTGAGCATCAAAAAGACGCAGTTCATTGCAATTGCAATGCCGTTTTAGTGTTACTGTATAATGACAAAAAACTGGTTTGCCATGAATTAGGTAATTTTAAACATTTGAAATTAAGCATTTAAGGGTATTTCTTTATAAATCAAACACTGACGGTGCAGTGCTGCATTGTACCTCTTTACAGAGGCATTTCTACCAGAAATGTTTTGCGCTGGTCAGGAGGTTGGCTGAAAAATATTTCAAAGGGGTACATTAATTAAAAAATGTGGAGAACCACCGCTCTATACCAACAGGCCAACAACTTTCAGACATCAAGGAGCTACCGGTGCCGCGAGAGGAGCTGTTTACATCGATGATGCTTGGCACTCAAACGCAGTCAAAGTGGATGGACACTCTTTTTCTGTGAAGATGACACCATATTATCATCACTATCTTGTTGCTGCTGTTTACATTCAACCAGACGCACATTCAAAATATGTACTGCAGAATTATTTCCTGTAGTATATTATACATGTATACCATATTATTCTGTGTGTAGCATGAAGGGACAGCAAACGTTGTGGTGCACCTATAGTAAAACCAGCTCTATAGTACCCTTAATAAATTAACAACATAAACAGCTGATTTGTGCCATCCGGCTGTCTGTGGAGCACGCCTCTCAGAGTCAGTGTGAATAGATACATTTGATAAATGTGGATTGCGCTTTAGACTCCTGACCTTGGTTCAGTGCTTGAACCGGTTTACATAGCAGGCTTATCATCTTTCTGTGCTTTTTTTGTTTCTTTATTCTCCATGTGAAAGGATTTCCTGAGGTCTGGCATGTCAAGCCAATTCGTGTTCGTGTTTCTTTACATTTTAAATGATCGTGTTATGAATTCACTCATCCACATTGCAAGCAACTCCTGTCTCTTTTCTAGCTTCTGCTAGATGTGCTTCTTTCACCCACTGTCCTTTAGCAGTGCTGCATGCAGGCTTTATAGTAAATGTATGAATGCATTAAATCCAATATAATCCAGATGGGGCTTAATGAGCTGGACCAAAAGATTTAGTCAAACAGCAGCAGAGAAATGAAGGCAATCTAAAAGCAGTGGCGGGCAGCACACTTTTGGTGGTTTGACACATGAAAAAAAGCAAAAGATTTCATGTAAAAGAGATCAAGTGGGGATAAAGAGAGGATCACACATTCGAACCATTTCTCATTAGAGCCATTTATTCAGTGATGAAAGAGGGAGCCCGAGAAAATGTCATTAATCCATGAACTACCAATACGGCTGGAATTGTAATGCAGAGCGGGTAATGCATAAAACATTTTCAAGTCATATCATCTGTGCTTTTCACGAGACCCAAATGCCAAAATAATGTTTTGTGACAGCTGAGCTTTAGAAATGTGTCGCTCACACAGAAAAGCCTCAGCTCTATTCCGTCCCTAATGACACTTGATTTTCAACCAATTTTCATCCCTTTTCTTTCATCTTTTGCTTCTGTACACTGCTGTGCATTTTGACAATGTGCATGACAGCCACTTTGAGTAGAAAACATTTAATTATATATATATATATATATAGTCCATTTTTATCAAAAGGCTTCCAGGATCTGGTGCAGAAGCTATTTGCTGACAGCCATTTTTAATCCCTCGATTAAAAGCAGAGAAGCTTATCTCATAAAAACAGACATCCAAATCAATCACTCGATCTGCTGTTGGCTCTCTGTAAAATATTAAAATAGAAAAGAAAAGATAGACTGTGCTTCTTTCCGCCAAATTGTTCAGAAAAATTGTCACTTGGCTGTTGCGAGGGAGCGGGGGAATAATTTGTCTCACATTTCCCTTCTGTGAGGCAACATTTGGTGAGATGTTGGAAGCCGGAATGAAAAACAGGAATATGTTTGGAGTGACAAGCATCCCTCATTGACAGACAGAGCTACGGGGGCATTTCATTCGGTGCAGATGATCAAACAATTAGCATGAATTAGACACTTTGAATATGTGGGCCTGTGTGTGTTTGCTGTTGCTTTATGCCTGTCCAGCAAACTGACTGACACACTTGTTACCTTGAGGCTTATGTTTGATTCTGGTTCAACAGCAAATTCACTTTGTTCTCCTTGTGCACTTTGATGGTGAGATGTTTCAGTGATGGAACTGTAGTCTGTAGTACTGCTGCTTTTTCCTGATACACAAACAGATCAGCTTTATAGATGACTGCATGTCTGGTTCACTTTCAAATAGGGCTTCCTTTTATGAAGTGTTTATAAGATGTATGGAATGGCTTTATTAATGGTTAATGAATAATCAATTAATACTTTATTGATCACTTATGAGCTGTTAATTAGGACAACTTTGGTGTTGCCTTGAGTGTCTAGCAGGACAGCTGCTTTGTCTTTTTCGCTCTAGCCCTTTCATTATAAAGACTCCCCCAATGGACCATTCGAATTTCTGGAAAATACTTTTGCTAATAGCTTTTAGGACAAGGAGGAACCAGTGACCATTCATTACCATCTGTAACTGCAGAGTGGAGTTTACTCCCCTTTATTAATGACTTATTAACATATAAAACCACAGAACATTTATTAATAACCTGACTGTTGACACCGGCTGGAGGGATTTTTCACAACCTAAAAGTTGTCCTTAGTAATGGCTTAAAACCATAAACTAAATAAAAATGGACATAGTCTCTTTGACGTGACCCATTGGTTTCTGAAGAGCTGTTGTGAAGCTCAGTGTGGTCGGCTCTGACCGTCGCCATCTTGGAAGTCCTGACTCCGCCCAGCTCCTGGCTAATCCAAAAAAGGGCAAAGATGTAGAGTGTGGGTGGAGCTGACTGAAGCCTGGTTACTGAAAACAGCCTCCTGTGATGGCAACCACCTGTCAATCAAAGTCGTCATACCCTTAATTATGCATAACTTTAAACAGGTGACTTATAGAAAAAATCCACCACTGTACAGTTATCATGAATGTGGAAATTAGCTATAGAGACCAAACCATTTTTTGTACCAGGCTGTAAACATGTTTATTTCTCGGCATTTTAATATGGGGCCTTATGGAGACTGACTAACTTCTGGAGCTAGCCTCAAGTGGACATTAGAGGAACTGCAGTTTTTGTTACTTCAATGTTGGCTGCCAGCCACGGAGGTTGCCACACAAGTGATCTAATAAATGACTTATTAACCATTAATAAAGCCATTAGTTCTTAACCTGTTATAAGTGGCACCTTAGTGGGAAATTGTTCTTAAACTCTCTCCTAAAGCTCTCCTTTGGGATAAACAAATCTATGACCAAAATGAAGAATTTTATATATTTGTTTATATATGTTTTGATTCCATGACAGCGTCGTCCATATTTGCATTAACCAGTCAGAATGCCTGTGGTTCTGTCTACTTAGAATTCTTTGCAAATATTCAATCAAATCATTTAATGTTTAACATATTTGCATAAATCATCACAACTGTCTGTGAGGTTGACGGGGACAAGGCTGCCAGCGTCCTGGCACCCAACACAAGAGGAGCTAACCAACATTAGCTAACAAACATCCACCAGTGGAAACAAATGTACACTGTGAGCCAGTTAGCTACTTAGCTAGTCAGCTATAGAACATTTAACAGCTTAAAAGTAAATTACATTAAAAGTTTGATTATTCTTGTTCACACACTGTGAACACTTTGTGTGTCAGCTAACTTTGCTGTCAATCCAATACGGAAACTGGTCCACCCACACCACTCAGAAATAGATTGGTCCATGGACCATGAGGCTGGATGTTGTATTTATTGTAACCCCTAACAAAAGGGTATTTTTTTTCAAGGCTTGTCTACAATGTTCCAGAAATAGCTGCACCATTTTATCTCTTTAGGTTTCTGTTTGCTCAGAGCCTCTTTTGCTGCAGAATGATCTCTCTTCGATTACACTGCAGAATGTCACTTTGACAGTCAGCGTCACAAATGATGTTTCATTTCTACTTTTGTTTGGTCCGGGTCACCTTTAGTCACAGGTCCCTCTTGAGCTGTACTTTCTTGTCCCTGATGTGCTGGAGGAGAATCTTCCCTCTGTGCGCCACTGTGCGGATGAGAGGCCTGAGACCACTGGCCCCGCCTTGGCTGTCCCAGAATTCCCTGTCTGTGTAAAGGGAGCGTAGAAGAAGACTCTCCAGACAGTCTGACTGGAGCACAGACACTGCTCTCTCTGGAAACCTGACAACAGAAACCGCATTACACTTGATCAGTTGTAGCTTCACTGACTTGTTCAAGTCTAGAAAACAAGACTACTAATGTGTAAAGCCTCTGTCACAGCCCTTAGAGTTCTCTATATGCCATAATAAAACAAATAGCAAGTCCAGTTGCACTTCTGGATGTGCCTTATCATTAGCATTGCTAAAACTGGGCTAATATTAAAGGACCAGTGTGTAGGATTTAATAGCATCTAGCGGTGAAGTTGCAGACTGCAGCCATTTGAATACTGCTCAGGCTTCAAAGCATGAACTACGGTGGACACAAAATTGTGAAAGGTTCTGTCTATAAAGGTTCGACTAGCGAGATTAAAAACATTCAACCGACTAGCACATCCCTACTCCTTCTGTAGTATAATGTAATAATACTTTATGTTTGCTATGGCAAATGGCTCTGAATACTTGGATACCATGGCCACAGATGCTGTTGCTTTGGGCAGAAGCCAATCAGAGGGACAAACTAGAGATGGCGCAAATTTGGAACACTGCCATAGCACTGGACGCAAAATATTCTGTCATAGTTACTGAATTCAAACAAAAAGGGAAGTAATTTAAACTGCTGGTTTTTACAGTATGCAACCTTGCTTGCCATTGGTGGAGCACATAAGAGAATTTGATAGAATTTTCTAACCAAAATAAATCTTAAGAGGAATGTTTATGTGTAAATGCTTGTACCTTTGGCTTTTTAACCACATGTTTCAATTGGTCATCTTTTGTACTGAAGATTTAATAAAGCCCAAGGATACGTTCAGACTGCAGGCAAAAGTGGCCCAAATCAGATTTTTTTTATGATAGTCTGAACAGCACAAATCCGATTTTTCAAATCCAATCCAGGCCACTTTGATATGTGGTCCTAAATCGGATACCTATCTGATGTTTTACAAAGCGACCTCAGTCTGAACGAGCCGCTTTTCATTCTACTTTTACATCAAGTGAGACAGACTTCACAATTCTGCACCGGATCAGATCTCAGCAAAAAAATCGGAATTGAGCATTAAGACCTGCAGTGTGACCGTAGCCCAAGGCCTGTCCATTTAAGCCTTGGAAGAGCTCCAATTTCCAGTAACCTGAAACTGTCAATGCAGAAAATGAATGGAACTTTCACTCACAGTACACTGGATGCCTAATATTACTCCCTCTGCAGGTATAACATGCAGTTTGCTTCAAGTATTTAAAACCTTTCCAATAAGTTAGTTACCATGACTCTAAATGCTGCTTGTAAATGATTTCATCCACCATGCACAGTAATGGCTACTTCTCGGTCCATGCTAACACATTTCTATATACTTATTCATATATTGTATAAAAAGGCAGTCCAAGAAGTTGTTAGATTAAGAAGCAATTGAAATGAGTGAATCTTCAACTCTGGGGAAAAAACGAATTTTCTTTTATTTTGCTCTATATTATTCAGTGATGAGAAATAATACAAGACTTTAACATTCCATTTTCATTCAGTTTCACGTCCTGGCTTAAGATATTTAAGAGCTATTTTATAGCGGGGCTTAGTAATCCTAAGTGACAGACAAAGGGGAATTTCTATCAGACCTGATTCATTCAGCATATTGAATAGCAGGCTAATTGAATGCACACTAATCTAATCAGACAGACATTGTAACAAAACCCTAACAAGCTTCCACTGAACGTTTCTGTGCTGCTGATTTGAGTGCCGATCACCAGGGAAATATGTTGTTAGATGTGTTTTATTTTCTCCTGAAACATTTCCTCACATCAGTGTTTGCGCCTGCTGTGAGCCCAAATAAGCCTCAGACTCTGTGTGGTGTAATTTATAGGGCCTGGGTGCCAGAATGGAGCAAAAAATAACTGTGCATCCTCCTACTTAAAAACTGTGCTTTGTACTCACTCATCAATGCCCTCAACCAGCCTGAAGTTGACGTTGTTATTGGCCTGCTGTGGCCTGCCAGCGTTGTCTATGAACACCAGTCTGGAGGGATCTGCCTTCCTCACCTGCACACAAACACACACACACACACACACTGTCAGGAGGTAACACAGGTTACACATAGGCACAGTTCGAAATGTAGTTTGAGTTTTTACTATTTTAAATGTATGATTTCATTTATTTATCACTTTTTAATCTGTGTAGCACTCTTATCTTTTTCTATTATGAATAATGCAAATTAAAGCAAACATTGCAATTTAAATATTATTGATGGGATGCATAAAACTGAAATAACTTTGTAATTTTGTTTAGTTATGGAAGATCTAATTTGTATACACAAATTTAAAAAATGCTTCTTTCTGATTAATAATTTCTGCACATGAATTTAGTTAAACAAAGAATATTTAAAGGATGTCAAATGAAGACAACTACACTGCATTTAATCCAAGATGGGGAAGATTTTCCATGGTTTCACATCTTTTACGGTTTATTTTGCTCTGCATTTAGCTACACAGAGGTAAATGCCAAACTGGCCAGTACTGCAGACCAGTGCAGACTCACACAGTCGGATGAAAAGCGGCATGATCGTTCAGACTGAGGTCGCTTTGTAAAACATCAGATATGTATCCGATTTAGGACCACATATCAAAGTGGCCTGGATCGGATTTGAAAAATCGGATTTGTGCTGTTCAGACTATCATAAAAAAAAAATCAGATTTGGGCCACTTTTGCCTGCAGTCTGAACGTATCCTTGGGCTTTATTAAATCTTCAGTACAAAAGATGACCAATTGAAACATGTGGTTAAAAAGCCAAAGGTACAAGCATTTACACATAAACATTCCTCTTAAGATTTATTTTGGTTAGAAAATCCTATCAAATTCTCTTATGTGCTCCACCAATGGCATTCTGCAATTAATCAATTTGATTGCAAAAAAAAAATGTTTTTAAAATATAGCACCTTTATTCTAAATTTTTTCCACGAATATTCTTTTTCTCATTAAACATCTCAAAAAATTTCAGTGCAGATAGATTACATATTGCATATTCAGCATTTACAGTTGGTCAAATAAAATAACACTGCATGTCTTCTGTGATTATTTATTATTTGTTCCGTGTTGAAAACCATTGTCGTTGTTAGCACAGTTGTAAGCCATCCATTGGCAATTCCATGATGCCTTGGGTTGAGTCTGTCGACCAATCAGAAGCTGAGTGGGCGTGTGTGTGGCAGTTGATGAGATTGACCCCATTCCCCGATCAAGATCTATAGAGCCCAGAAGGTTAATAGAGCATTGGTTACCATGAAAAAAGTTTGACAATGTGACTATAATCTAATTAAACAGTATTTCAAATGTAATCTGAGTTGATCAGAGTTACTTATTTTATATAATCTAATTATATAATCCAAATTACATGTAGTAGTTTTTGTCATGATTTTGAAGAGAGATACACACATAAAAATGGTCACAGATTGACAAAGAATTATCACCTGACCTGACTCTGTTTTGGTTTTAAAGCCAGCAACTTTAAGGCGAAATGGTACATTCTATAGCCCATTTATCCAAAGTACTTTCCAATTTGCCACTTATTCACCCATTCACACATGCACACTCACACACCAATGGCAGCAAGCTACTTGCAAGGTGCCGGCCTGACCAACAGAAGCAATTTGGGGTTCAGCGTCTTGCCCAAGAACATGTCAAAAATAGTTTCAGAAATCCCCTCCCCCCATACCTCTCTGTCTTTGGAATTAACAATTTCTTTAATGTGCAGGTGGAAAAAGGAGCCAGTGTTTGAACTTCTCTCTCAACTATAAACAGATTTGCTAACATGGTCCCCAAATCAACTTTATGAGGTGATGGTTTGTCAATGTGGTGTGTTATAGCTTTTTACCTTCAAGGTGCTAAAAAAATACTAAATTACTTTAACGTTATTTATTCTTTTTAAAGTATTATTTTTTGGGGCTTTTATTGCCTTTATGATAGAGATAGATGGGGGACAGAGAGAGGGGATGACACGCAGCAAAGGGCCGCATGTCAGATTCGATTCCTGGGATGCTGCAGCAAGGACTCGGCCTCGGTACATGGGTAAATATATATATATTAAAAAATAAACAACATTCTATGCATGCACAACATAATCATTTAAGAGCACTATTAATTATTAATTTGAGAGCACAATTTGTTAATTTGTGCACACAAATGAGCTTTTTCTCTCCTGCCAGGCTTTTGTAATTACAAGCAGAATCATTTTGGATAAAAAATAGGCCAATCTTAATAGGTCTTAGGAAGACATTTTGACATCTCACAGCAGGAAAAGCATAGGTATAAAAAATAAAAATGAAAGGCTGCTGAATTCCATTTTGCTGCTTCAGTGTCAAGGTCCTGCTGGCTCTGTCACACAGTAATGGCTTACTGGGACACTTTAATAGCACAGAACCATCTTTAATGTTATTAGTAACACCTGTGCTTTTTCTACAAGACAAATCAAACTGCTGTCATGTGATTTGAATATTAAGTGCACGGCAAAACCAGCCTGGAATAAGATTATTCAAATAACAACCTCATACATATGACAAAAACAGCCATAATAAATGTTTCCACTGAGGCTTCCAAGTGATGGTAGAACCTTTAAGTCAACTGCAGAATGAAAAAGAGCTCCTGCTGTGACAGCTTGATCTATTTTTACATATTGTAATGAACAGTACAAACAACTTGTAACATAATCAGCATCTGCCACCTAACGAATGTGAGAGCTCATCGCTAGCTATGACGCACATACATAAACAATACCTTGAGTATAAGATTTGCTTCTGTTGTTTTATTTAAATATAGATCCTTTCTCCTATGTTGGCATGGAGGAAGGGCAGTACCGAAATGTTTGTGCAAGAAAAATCAAACAGGGCAGCCGGGGTGGACTTCATTTTCTTCATTCCCTCTGATATGATGACTAATGATTTGACAATCACAAAAAACAGTTCAATTTTGAGTTTTCATATCAAACAACAATTTGGCACAGCAGGAGAAAACCCTTTTTTTTTATTTATACCAGCACATCAATCAAAGCACAGATCGGTAAACTTGTCCTTTGACTGAGAGTAAGTCATTAGTCTTAGTGCTGTTACTGCAAATAAAGAGAAAACACCCCAAAGGCCTTGTAGTGTTTCAGGACATAAATCATTTTGATAATGGCACAGGGAAAAAGGTTGACTGCCTGTAGAGTTGAAATAACACCAGTGCTATCTGTGATACGTACCAGGATGTGAACCAGCAGCAGGTCCTTGGTGTTGCCACACTTGGCGTGCAGCAGGTTCTCCACGCAGAGTTCTGATGGATCAGGTGTGAAACCGCAGCAGTACCGGTCCAACCGGTCGTTGACCTGCACCAACACACAAAGAACACACAAAAACAGTGAGATATGGCTGGTATTTGTTAGCTACCGACACAAAGGGTTCATTTCCAGTTGGAAAATTGGGCAAAATTCTACTTTTGTGGATTTTTTGTCCACAGTTTTGCCTCTTAGCTACATACAGGCTGCACTCAACCTTCCCTGGTGGATGTCGTATGCATCCTGAGAGGAGTTAAATGCACTAGAAGGAGTTTTTAACTGGTCTCAATTTAATACTGATGCCTCTGTATGACCTAAAACAAACAAGACCATCAGCCAGAAGACTGGCTATTTCTATTTCTTTTGCGAGCTCTCGCAAATCCGACAATGTCTCCGTGGCGGTGCGCCGCGACCGGCTCTAGGTCGGCTTG